TTGGGCAGATCGATGACGTTATGGAGAGACGAGTGCTAGGCGTATTGGGTTCAGTAAGCACACTCGGTGTGTTGGGCTCACACAGAATCCTTGGTCGGTCAAATCTGTTGAAACAGGGTGTGAAATGGGGTGTGAAATGGGGTGTGAAATGGGGTGATGGAAGACGCATTAGTTTTGATCTTCCACGGCTAGCAAGATTGACCCAATATCTGGCAAGAGTATGAATCAATTGCTGAACTATGGAAACTGTATCGATAGGTAAAAGGATACATACCTCTTCGCCGATTTCTAGTCACCTGCTCGCCAATGGACTGCCCACGGTATGAATGGGGTTGATCCTCTGCGACTCGGTGGAACACATCCTGTTCACAATATGGGGGTGTTTTGGGCGGCTGATTGAAATCTTTCTGATCTTTTGGAGCCAAGTGATGTCGCTCAAATTCGAAAGACCTCGGCGGGACAGAGCTTCGTTGAAGAAAGCTCGAGATAGATGATAGCTTTTCAAGAACTCTACCCTGATACATATTGCTGGCGAGAGAAGTTTAGACGTAAGATTGTGGATGTACAGATGGCAGCGAGTGAGTGGAATTCTCGGTCGTCCGGGTTGAATGGCCTGAGAGAGTCTTACCGATGGTGTTATATTATCGCATTGTGACATTCACACGTACTCGTTTGGAAGACAGCCAAAAAGACGAGGATCGCGTTGGAGTTCTATGCCCTCTCATCATAACCAGAGTGGTTGCCTAAATTCGCTCATACATGATCCACAGTGGTGCTTTTTCTGTCGCATTGTGGCTCAAATAATTGTGCTATATTTAAACCGAGGCTCATTTTGTACAACCAGATTTAGTGATCTTGAACATCAAGTCTATCGAAGCGCTTTTTGTAAGTGGTGACGCAGAAACTTCGTGTCCGAGAGGAATTCCCGCAGCTGAATGTAAAACGTGTGCAGGGGGCAAGATAAGCACTTGGTCAACCATCAAAGTCAGAAACTGCCGCTGTATCTAAGATGATAAAACACTTTTTCCGCCATCCTCTGTGAGCCTGCTTCTTACTTTGATTGTCAGGTATCCCGAACCTAGCCTGGTCATACCCCGCGAGCCAGCTTCTTTAGGCGCAGAGCCAATCACGGCACTAGGTGAAAAAAGCAAAGCCTCACCTACCTGCAGGTGCACAATGTGGTGGAAGATAGATAGCTTTGCAGGAACCCCAACGGCACCCTGTTCATGATTTGCTTGGCTTTCCTTTGTTGACTGTAGACTCAAGGCCGCGGCGGCTACATGAGATTGCAATGCGTGCGCCCATGCGGGTGATGAGAATCGGTGAACAATAGCTACAGAGCATAGACTGAGAAGGTCACTGGAGATAGTTGGCTCTTGCGTCGAGACCAAGATCCGGGCACCGAGGTGACGTTGCAATCGAACCGTGGAGAGAAGGGTATCTGTGAACCCTTGCGCTTCCACAGAATCCTTCATGTACTGAACAGAATCATTATCAGAATACTTTCCATCTCAACTGCGAATCGTACCTTATGAGCCTCATCAAGCGCCACGATTCTACCAATCTTGGTTTCCTGTTCCATGAATATCCCAAAGCAGACATTAAAGAGGCTGCAAGCCGTATCGGGAGAGATACAAGGACAGGAAAGGTCCACAATCGTTAATTGCGAAGCCTAACACACGATGAGCTTATGAGAAGATAGGGTCAATGCGGAGAGACAATACCCTTGGGATCCAGCTAGAGCCTGAGCTCTTTTGCTTAGACTTCTTCGATTGATGGCTACCACATGTCTGATGGGGGGCCATGAAGCTTTCGAGAGTATCCAGCCTCTGCTTCAAGGGCTCCAATTGACCCGGCAGAAGTCCTGAACCGAGAACTCTCTTCTTGAAGTCCCGATAATCAAACTCGGACCCTGTACTCTGCTGTAGAAGCCGCATTTCTCGCAGGATCCGCTGTACCGTGTGCACGTACAAGGGAACTGCGCCGTTGTCACGATTGACTGCCATTAGGTCCAGCATACGTTTAGTGTTAAGATCGGACTGATCTATCTGCAAAGGCTCAACTGTGATATTGAATCTTGAGTAGGTTCCCTGAAAGTGTGAGTGATTGGAATAAAAGAAGCGTCAGCTCACTCTACCTGTATGGTTCGGAGGTTGGTGGGAGCACAGAGCACTCTAACCTTGATTTTTGGGTTAGACGCCAGGAATGCAGCTTCACAGGGTGAGCCGCCATCGTCACAGATGAATGTATCGTAATGAAACACCACGGCTGTGAGTGGATTCAAAAGCCTCCCAGCCTTGGAGGAGATCAAACATCCTTCAAGTAGACAAGATAGTGTGTGACTCTTCCCGGAGCCCTGTGATCCGCAAATAAATACACTAGAGGGAGACGAAACATTGAAAAACAACCGGGGATCCTCTCTCGAGGGTTTTATTCCTGAGCCAGCTTCATGGGGTGTTTCGATTCCTTTTACACCCCCCAGGAGCCCATATTGTAAGGGGGCAAGCACGGGCTGTCTAAGCGCTGAGCTTGTTAACATGGGGGCGAGAAGGGCCTCTTGACATTGATCGCTAGGGCTTTCAAGTTTCAACAAGCTCAAATGATATGTCAAATTTTGATCTTAAAGCGATTAGAACAATGTTTGATATCATTTCAAGAAGGTGGTGGTGGCAAGAAGGAAACATAGTTCTCGGAGACGTACCAATGCGGTTGTCCTCAGAGAAAGGTGAAGACATTTTGAACCCCTATTTTTCAACAACATAGTCCTCAACGTGGCTCCAACGCTTTGATTTTATAATAAACCACCGATTCTGAGAATGCTTGGTTTGTCTAGATGTAACAGCGGTGAGCATACTACAGAGCTGCGTAAGAATGGTTGTAATCATAGGGCTTTTCACTCCGATCGACAAGATCAACATAAAGTTATTTATTCTTCCGCACGACTGGCCTCCCGCATGAATGGCCTCCCGCATGAATGGCCTCCCGCATGAATGGCCTCCCGCAAAAGGGAATGGACTATGTATCAAAGACCAAGGTAACTCTAGTCTTTGAGTGAAACTCGAATACAAGATTGTTAGAAGCGATACGGGAGGTGTAAAAGTTCTGAATATTCGTCAAGTCACTAACTCACAGACAGCCATGACCACCCTTTGTAACGCTGAAATCATCTACCCTGATTGGTAGTGATATCACCAAAAGTGGTTACCTCTATTTTTGGGCTTTTTCTTGGCTAGCTTGTTATTGTATTTGTTCTGAGGGTATAGATGCACTTTGAAACCGGGGTAGGTTTTCTCCCTGGAAGACGTTCATAACCCCATAGAACGCCATTCTTGAATCATTTTCTGAGTCTTCCAGCACCATCCTTTAACTGTATTAACACATCAAGCTCTGTGATCCATGCCCATATTAAAAATACCACGCAAGGCACGTAACGCTGTGAGATTGTGATGGCTCCACCTAGAGCTTCATACGACGATCTAGTCTTGATGAAGAAGGGCTTTAATAAAACTTCTTTGATATCAAAATTAGGGATTCAATATCAAACAGCGGGTCTCAGATATTATAGATCATTTTCTATACAAATCGATTCTGGATATTACTCCGGCAGGTGGTAGCGTAAGAAAGTCGCGATGATCCTTCATATGTACTTCCGACGGGAGTATACTGTAACAATGATATAATGAGTTCTATTTCATATATACAAAATCAAGGCTAGAAGTATCACAATCTCTCTTCTACCGGCCCAAAGCTTGTGACCCATTGCAGGCAGACCTCCTTTCACCTATTTACAGCTACCTAGAGCACGGGTTTGGTCGCCTGATCAAGAAAATCTAACTCCTAAAAGTGGAAAAAGTGGACATAAGCTATAGAATCGGGATTCATTGCTCCACAAATATAGGGAACCAACAAATGGCAACAAGTTATAGTTTTTTATTCTCGCCTCATGACCCAGACTGGGGTGAAAGTTGTCTCTTACAGGTATGTATTTGACATAAGATTTTATCTCTTGCTAGCGAGCTAGAGGACGAATATGTTATGAAATACACTACCCTGCGCTTGAGGCAGTCAAGCGAAAGTCGCCGCGTGTTCGCTGTTCTGCGCACCATGTTTCATATCGTCCGGAAAGTTCAATGATTCTGCCTAGTTTTACCAGGCCAGTCAATTCAATTCCCACTAGAGGCTAGGTGAGCCCATGTTCACAGTCAATTGATCCTTTGTCGTGTTGGCTGTCTTCTAAAATTTGAGATCGCCCAGCGGATATTGTGCTGAATTCCAATGGCTTGTATTGATCCATTTGTCACAGACCAGAAGCAAGATATATATACTAAGAGATACTGATCAGGAACATGTCGTCAATGTAATTTCGCTGACCATTAAACAATGTAAGTACACCTCATAGTAAGCTTATGACCTAAATTTCTTGCTTTTCTTTTTAATCGATCCCTTCTTATGCTCATGAACAGGCTCTTCGGGACTATCGAAAGAATCAGCTGTAGTCTCGGGCTCAGGACTGTCAGGAGCATAGGGCACGCCAGCTGCCGTATCGTTAGGAGTTGATGACTCCGGGGCCTCCATCTGGTTGTCATGTTCGGGGGTTGAGGTAATTTCGAGTTTTTCTAAAGGCCCAGCAGATTCACTCGAGAACTGGGTAGCGGATTCAAATTTCGACGAGTTGTTTTCGTTCCGGAAATCTTGATTGGGTTAGTTCCAATTTGCGACAGGGTAGCGAGATTCTCACCCAAGCCCCTGATACCAACAAATCGCCGACAGGTGTCAGAGCCTTTATTGAGAACAGAAAGCTTCCTATCAAGCTGTTGGCGAAGACTTCTGCTTTCCTCGCTCTCGCCTGCGATTTGCGTCACAAGTTCGTCAGACATATCGAAAGCGGACACGGGACTGAAGATCCCAGGCAGAGTGCAGAGAAGCTTCATCTCGACGACCTCTGTAGCAATGTCATCCACAAAGCGTTTCAAAGCGACCTATCAACAAATTTTATCGACTCAGCGTGGAACAAGACCATGATTTGCCGCATTTACCTTGTAATATGCCAGCATGCAGTCTAGCGCTTCCTCTGATGCGAATTGCGTCATATCTGGCACAGTACTCCAAACGAGTGAATCAAAAAGCGCACGGAGGTCAATGGAATCATAGACTGTGTGTGCACTGGACAGATGGTCCACCCTGAAGTGACGCTTGAGCGCCTCGCGTAACTGCTCCTTTTGACGGCTATTGCGTGCGTTTTGAAGTGTCTCCGTAAAGTAGTGGTTATATGTGATTGGATGCCGCTGTTGATGGGGAACAAGCAGGTCTGCGGTCCCTTGCTCCAGTAATTTTCTCAATTGGGCTAGGGCTGGAACGATGACCTTCTCAAACAAAGCGGTCGCAGTGGTCTCATCTGCGACATGGATGACCACTTGCTGGAGGAAATCTTTTGCAGCAGCCCAAGCGGCGATAACATGGTTGCGGGATATACGCTCCCACGGCCGGCTCTGATCCTGGAACAGATCTCTGGTGATCATAGGATCAAAAGTGCCCGGTAATTCACGACCACGCGTTCTCTCCAGTAGTGTACCAATTTCCCCCAGGTATTCATCCCGCGACATTTGAATCTGATGCTCACCGATGGCTTTGCTCTCCTCTGTAGGGTCCAGCTGACGGTAGTGACCATATCTCGCGAGATTTGCGGCGAAAGCCACATTCAGATTCTGGATCACCGCGCGAATTCTTCTTTTATACCCAATTTCGGTTTGCGCAGGTTCGAAAAAAGGCTCATTGTATGTCCCATCCACAGCAGCTTTCACTAGGGATTGGAACAACTGGCTGATATGGAAGAGGTATGATCTTTGTGCATTCAATGTTGCTCGAGGTTGTCCCAGCTTACTCAGTTGGGCTCGACAGGCATCGCTCATGGTGTTGATCTCCTCAATGAGGCTAGGCAATTCGGCTGCAATTTGCCCGAGAAGCAGTTTGCTAAGCCGAGTACGCAAAGTGTTCACACCCACAAGGGACCGAGGCATGTCTCCCCAGATTCCTTCAGAAAAGAATTTCCATTCTTGGGCATCCCGCTCGGACAGACTCCAATGGCCTCTTTCGGAGTCCATATTTTTCAACACATGCCATCCCAGACGGAACTCCACATCTTGGTTCCTAGCGAGTGATATGAACGATGTCTCACTCTCGGATCCAGCTATCAGGATATCGGGCTTAGTGATCACGCCCAATGTCCGGTCCCCCGAAGGATCTGCGTCTCGCGCGAGGCTGAGAACTATCTGGTTGGCGAAGTCGTTCTTTGCGGAGACCACAGCCAGAATAATACTCCGCGGCTGGCTCATGTACGATTGAACCACACTTTGCACCAAGTGCACATCAGCAGCCGATTGCTGTCGTGTTTCTGAGTGGATGAGGCCCGGAAGGTCGACGATTGTCAGGTGAGGACGATCAGGACCCGATATCTCTATCCGTAGCAAATCATTAGAGAAAGCTTTGCCATATGTAGAGATGCCCATGGCCGCTTTGGCGTTCTCGATGAGGGTCGCGAGGCCATCAAACCCATCGAGATGCTCACAGAAGCTACCCAGCGACTGTTTTTCTGCTTCATTCCGAGACTGATGAGGTACTATGGAGACTCTGACCCCGACCTGGGAGTTTTTCCGCAGCACGAGCTCCGTGGGAAACCTTGTACACAGGTTGCTTTTCACTGGGAATGAAACACCGGAGATCGCTTCAAGGACAGAGCTCTTGCCAGAAGATTGATCTCCGCAGACAATGATTTGTGGGAGCGAGACATAATGGCTGATTCCTTGTGACCGTAGGGTATCCACGGAATCCAAAAGATCTAGCTGCTCTTGGGTGCAAAGAGCATCAAGTGCATCTAGTTTGAAGCTTGTCAAAGTCATAGCCAAAAATGATTAGGGACAGTCACGAGAAGAACCTGGAGCCCAGAACAGGATGGTCACAGTTTCAAAAAATCTTCGGGGTTTATATTTTGAGGCTGACAAGAACAGGAACTATAAATCCAAAGGAGCTACTTTGCCCTATAGTTATTCCCGGTTGCTCTTGTCCCTTGCTTTGATCATTGACCATGGAAGCTAATCCAGAACGTTTGATTATCTAGCAAGCCGTCCATGCGGGAGGGCATCCATGCGGGAGGCCAACCATGCGGGAGGCCATCCATGCGGGAGGCCAACCATGCGGGAGGCCATCCATGCGGGAGGCCAACCATGCGGGAGGGCATCCATGCGGGAGGCCATCCATGCGGGAGGCCAACCATGCGGGAGGCCATCCATGCGGGAGGCTGTCGGTGCGTCTTACCAGTAATAACATACCAAAATGGGAAGTGAAGCGTACGTTCGACAGTCGAATAGTGCTTTTATGATATTTGGGCAATTACATGTAGTATTGCTTGTCAAACCAAACCCTATCAGATGGACACTGTGTCCAATGAATAAATGATGTTCTGCCATTGTGTTGAATTTACCTGCTGGGCGGATCTGCGGCTACGCTCGGCTTCCTTGCCAGCCCACAGTGTTCGACTCAGCTTTTAATTTTCAACATTACTTCGTATCCGAAACCAACCAGGTACATATTGCTCCCGTTCCAGGAAAATACACATAGATTTTACAATCTAGAAACGACTGAATATAATGCGCACCATACGAAATTTTCGTCTCAATCAGCAATTGATATGACAATACTATCAATCTCATAGGTTGATATACTACATCAAGGGACTTCCGTGCCACATACGTGAGTGAGCCAGTGTTAGCTTGACAGATTATCCCAGACACATCGATTCTCTCGTCCAGATTTACGACCATCGGTCTAAGCCTTCAATGACCTGTCTGACCTTGTCGCAGACTGTCGATTTTAGTATGAAGAGCAGTCAGCGGAATCCTGCGCTCTTCGAGTGATTGAATTGGACAGAGGTGATCGATTGTCGACTACAACGATATCCGGGCATTTCATGATCAGCCATTGGAATTCACTAGCGCTGTTCAGATTGAAAGACCAATTTATTCACCGGGCAGTGATATGATAAGTTACTCTGAGGGTTCTTAGGAAAGAGAGTTCGATGCCTTTTATTATCATTTCGATAGCCCTAGTGATAGCTCTTTTGAACTGAGACGGATCCCCGGTTCATTGACATAAAGAAATAACAAACTTCATGGTTCATGAATATCTTGGAACAATGCCAGCAGCCAGGCCCGCTCACCTGAGTTGGATAGACATGGATAATCTGCTAATTATATGCTTTTCCAATGAAGCATCTTTGAAGGGCGTAGCCTAATTCATCAATATATTGACGGAAAATTCTTGAAATATTGACTTTTTAAACGAAAGACAAAACACAAGTCAACTACCTCGCAATATCGGAATGTTGAATCCCGTCCTTGCCCTTGATTGTAGTAAGTTCGAGCAAGGTGGACTAGGCGCATGGAGTACGCGAGTACGTGAGCTGACGAATATAATTACTCCGCATACCTATAAACTTTTTCGGTTCCCGCATGACGGTATTCAACATGCTGTCCTATGTCGACCGTTGGGCTTTATAGGAATTGGGCAGGAGTCGATCATCATCTAACCCTGTCTGCTCAATTGCGGCTGAAATTTTAGCCCCCAGCCTATAAGTCTGTCCTCTTCCATCGCTTGTGTTTGCCATTATTCTGATGTGTGCGCCAATTGTACCGTCATCAAGAAAGAGAAGGACTGTATGAAGATATGACCCCAGCAACCTTGCAAAGGTCTTTGGAAATTAATCCACATCGCGTTGGCCGACCCAGACTTGACCCCTACAAGAGACTTTTGAGTCGATTTTATGAGCAGTTGTTCCTTTTGAATGCACTTGGGCAGACACGCGGCAGCCACACTATTCTGTCATCTGACGTTCATTCCAGCCGGGCTCAAAGTCGACGGTTTTTGCAAAACCTTTGTTTCGTTTGCGATTTCAAAAAGGGGGGCAGCACATGCACTGCGATCGGTCTTGAAGAGCTTGATACCCATTACAACTTCTGCGTTGCCTCGAATGGAGAAACCGACACAATCGTGGCATTTCTCCGCACCGCCCTAGGTGATTTGCGGGCTAGAGCCTGCCCGGTCGGCATGGGAAATATCGACAGCGAGCTGCGATTCACAAAGATGTGCATTGAGTTTGCTGCTGAACGTATCAACGAAGAAAAGAGATGCCTTCGTAGATACGCCAAACATTGTCTTTCCAGATTGAGCGGACAGATTGCTGCATCCGGTGAGCTCCCCCCCCCCATTGTCTCATGCAGCAGTCGATTTAATGGTTTAGATTTGGCTGCCTGGCTCCATACGGTCATGGGTATCGATGATACATATGTGCTCTGCAACTTCGCACACAGCGACCGTCACTCAGTACACATGAGAGAGCTGGAGAGACGGGGCACGGAAGAAGAGATATCGTTGGATCCTTCGAAGAAACGGTCACCCTTTGCCCTGATGCGACATTATATCGGAAGACTTGCTCATCACATCCGGGCTCCTAAAGAGCTGATGCAAGACACTGAGGAGCTGAGCCATATTCTTGAGAGTCATGCTATCTGTCCGATTTACGCCGTACCTGCCGTTCCAACGCCCATTTGTGATGCCCATACCAACCTTCAAGGGGTATTGAATCGGATGTTGAAGAATGACAGAGAAAGGGATAAACTGGAGGAAGGCCTCCTGCACCTGAACAAGGTGGCAGGTATATTTGACACTTTTATCCATCAGTACAATGGCTCCACGCGCCAAGTCCATGCAGAGGTTCAGATATTGGAAAATTTCTGGGAGCAGCAAAGATCATTCGCGGGCGCAGATCGTTTCGTTGCTTCCAGTAAGCCAGCTTGCCTCTGCTGTGAACTGTACTTCCAATATCACCCGGCCCGCGTGATGATTTTTTCCTCTCACCGAAAGATTTGGACAAAGTGGAGCCCACCAAATGTTGAACGATTTGACCGAAAATGCCCCGCAGCGACGCAACAGAGGGACATTGTGAATCGAATGACGGAAAACCTCCGTGAGCAAGTGCTTAGTCATGTTTTCCAAAACGCGACCTCCAAACAATGGCATCCTGACTCAATAACGAATATCACGGATACCCGACGGCTGAGCTTCAGTTCTGATTCAATCAGGATATCATATATGGGGGTTGTCAGGACTCTGCCAAGCATGAATTTAGGGTTGTATCACAACAGACGGGCCATTTGGGGCAAAGCTGAAGCCGACGGGAGTCTTGATACTGCGTCGGACTTTGATGATTTATCTGACTCAGGAAACGGGGGTGTCTCTCTCTCTGGCTATACTTAGACTACCTGCAGCAAGTGCTAACCCTCCTCTTGTTCTTCAAAAGTCTGAGTGGCTGACATCTATCCAACATTCACATGTATGATGAGAAGAGTAGATTTCTGTCATGTCTGCCTTCCATGAACTCCTTCCATGAACTCATTTGTTCCCTTTGCGGCAGTTATATTTGCTTTTCCTAGCTGGAACGATCATAAATGCTTATCAGCGCAGCCTCCTAGGATATGCCCTGGATTTTTTTGTTACGCTAATTGGACTGGTGTAGGAAATCTTTCGCAAATCACCAATGTTACTAGATGCTTTAAATTCCCGCTTCCGCCAATCAGCGATGTACCACACATGAGCGCCTCCTTCCTTGTCGGCAGCGGGCAGAAGAGATCAGGCTTGCCCGGGTTGACAACTTGCTTCCCAACGGCCTACAGTTTCATCTGAGATTTTCTGTTTCCCAGTACCCAACGAAAGGGTAAGCAACGCCCGCTATATCTTGGTGGTGGCATGGCAGATGAGGCGAGCGGTACTTTGTCCTCATTCGTTAATCACATCCCTGATTATCTGCATGTCCGAGCTGCTGTCGAATAGTTTTGTTACTGTCGTTTACCTACCTTCCAGTTTTGCCCTCCGGTGAGACATCAGAAAGTAGTAACCGCGTGAAATCGGTTCACCAGTTTGGCTGTGCGGAAAGAACAACGTACCAATTACCTTGAGCCAACACGCACATATCGCTATCGGATGGCAACGGAACAGCCTGGCGTGGGGTACTAGCTCAACGACTGGGCAGCCGGGATGTATAGATTGTCACTGACCTCCTGCATCTTCAACGTTACCAGGACCTAATGGTTGAGATTTTGAGAGCGATGACGATCAATGTCAATTGAGATCCCCACCGTTGCACCCTCAGTTGTTTTCAAATGACATAAATCTACATCAAAGATCAAGGCACCGTGCCGGGCGCCTTAATTTCATGCATATCGAACCTGACTTCGAACCAATGGGAATTATCTTAAAGGCAAGTCACTGAGTCGCTTGTGTGAAGACTTGTGATATGACGTGGCACGAGATCTAACGCTGAGAACCAATAAGGTCTCAAGTATGATAAAGAAAACGAAAGATTTGACTAAAAAGGAAGGGCGTCGACATATGGCAAAGCAGTAATGTGAAAATCACGAACTGATAAGGAAACATTAACAAGGAAGCTTTCCAGACCATGTGCACCAACTGAGCATGACAATTTCATCTAATTGGCGTGTTTGGCCTTCCAGTGTCTGAGAAAGTTGTCTTCTCTCGTGAACGACTTTCGGCATAAAGGACAAACAGTTGGCTCCAAGGGCCCCCAGAGTCTCATAGCTAGCTGTTTGTGAAACGCCTTGATGTGCCGATCGAGGTCCTTTCTCTCTGCTGATGCGTAGTTGCAGCCTTGAAATCTACATTTGAAAGGCATAGTATGGATCCTCGTATGCTTTCTGGAAATTGTTAGGAGGGCGACAAGGCGGAAAATATACGTGGACCGACCTCAGCTGGCATTCCAGGGAAAAGCCGTGCAACGTTTGACAACCCTCATATTGGCAGTAATATAGCCCATCATGTGGAGAATGGCCGATCATGACATCGGAAAGCATCTCAGCTTCTTCGGATCGCCAACTTGCCGTCCCACATACATCACAAATGACGGGTTCGGCACCGCTGGTACTGCTGACGGCACCAGGAACACTGGCCGGACTCAAATGAAGATTGCCAGTCATTTCTCTCTCTCTCACAAAGAACTCGTCGCATGTAGTCCTCTACAGAGGCTCATTTGCTTCGATTATCCCCCGAAGAGCAGTAAACGAGAATCCGTTGGCACCGGGAATCTCAGATTCAGTGTTGAGTATGCCTTGTTGTTGGTTTTCGTTGGGGATCTTGGAGAAGCAGGCGTCGCAAATTACGGGAATCGCAGCGTTCGGAAAATTCATCGCGGAGCTATCTTCCTGGTCAATTGGAGGCTCGGCTATAAACGAAACTCGTGCATTTCCGCCCGGCCACGACTCCATAGTCAAACTGGTTGAATTGGAATTGAGCCGGGGATGAAAAGTGTAACTCGAGTACCAAAAGATTGCTTTAAATATCTCGTTCGATCGCTCGCTATGGGGCTAATCGAATAGACATCGGTATGGACCAGCGGTCAGGGGGTGATGCAATGCCACCCAGCCACGTTTCTGCCCATCATTGGTCTTCATTCACCGCGTATGTTGTACTGAAAAGCCCGTGTAAGGTCGTGTAACAAGCGGACTCGCAGCTTGGGATGCAGGCGAAGGATCTGCGATCTGATGGACACCTTCTACTATATACCCGACTTCAGTCACATCACCGTTACGGGAATGGCCATGATGGATTGTGGCCCGTGATAGGGATTATATCTAAGGCTGTTCCTGCTGAATGGTTTCATAGGACCAGGCATAACGAAATCATGTGGCCGACCCCGCAGTCCTCTCGAGGTGACCGCGTATTGTACTGGTACGATTCGAGATGCACGAATACAATGGCCACGGATGGCGCACCACTGAGACATACATTTGATGCGGCGGAATGGAATGTACCTTGTCGCCTGTGTCCCGCAGACCAAAGTTCACGGCTACGAGAAATTTTCATGGTAAAATCTGGCTTGGATGGAAAAAGCCGACTCCTTCCTGATCATGTTTGACGATATCGATACTTTGCCCCCGCGGCGTATACACGGTGTAGCAACATTACACTACTACTTCAATGTCGAGTCAACTCTCAGCAATCTAGAGATTTACTGAATCAGTATTTCAGTGCCCACGCAGAGCCAAAGCTTTCCTTGAACAACACGTAAGGCTAGAAACCCGGCATGGGTATAGTCATGGCAACGCTCCGATGAGATTCACCATTCTGATCAAATTGCTATTTTAAGTTGACCACAAAGGTCTTTTGCAGCTAAATGGCCAGCAACCTTTTTTGTCCGCCCATTGCCCGTCCCACGGCATGATCCAAAAGAGATGTCAACTTTGAATTCAGGAGGGTCAATGCTTATTGTTGAAATGGTGCGTCGCGGTACTTGTCCGCTTTCTTGTCCCTTTTCAAATAACCGCGATGTGTACATTGGTAGTGTCTGGCGGTCATCCGGAAGATCTTGGCCACTATTATGGTTGTTATCTGATCCGGTTTCGCCCATTGGATCCATCCAGTGTGCGTGGAATCGCTGGGTCTCAGGGGGGACCGAGGGCCGCATCTCTCTTCCAGTTTCCAAGTCACCTTCTCTCATACCGGGGTTCAGGAGACTCTGCCACACAAAAAATGCCTGTGGCTCGGCTAGAGTCCGATAAGTACACCCTAAGAGCCGGAAAACAGCCTCCTGAGACTCTGCGTCTGCATCTGCGTCCTGGGATGGAAGAAGCCCCATAACCTGCAGCAGCCGCTTTCCCGCAACAAAGTCATATGAATCTACTATCCGACGAGCGTCCGACTTTCACCCAGTCAGTCCGAAAACTCTCAATCTTGACAGGACGACAAATTGACTGACCAGCAAGTCACGGGATCTACCCGACCGGGCGAGGTGTACTATGATGTTTGCGTGGAACATGACTTTTCCCACGACCTGATCTGTACAACGTGTGAGAAAGAGCATGAGAGGTGCAAAAAGGCTAAATAGGCCTTACCCGTCTCAGCATGAGGGGCTCGCGAATCCTGGAAAGTGGCCATGGGGTATCTGAAGCAGACGATCAAAACGGATGAACCTTACGGCAAATAAATCAATCACGGGGCTCAAGGTGAGAGGGGCCTCTTCACCCTTTTATTACTTTTGATATACACTATCTTGGATATTTCAACGACATATTGCAGGGCCGAGCTTCCCCAATTTGACCGCTACTCGTGCGTCAGAAAATGCGCGCTGATCTAGTGAGACATTAATGACAACAGACAGCCCTCGTATTAAGAATGCACGGGACGTCAGAGCCCGAACCCTTTCCCCGCAATCCTGCCTAACAATGCGAATATGCGAATAAGGACATGGCACCTGTCTCGATGACTAACCATCTGAGCTCATTTCCTCCGATCCGTTCGCACTCTATGCTATTGGCTAGCGAGTGGAGAATTCACCAATGTACACTTTGCCTTTTTGGATACTATAAACACGGCGAGGTTTTAATTCAATGGGGAAATAGATCTACAGCTTGGCCATGGAGCAGAGACTCGGGTTGGCCCTTCTGCAGAGCACTTGCTTCCCCGTAACGAAATGTCTTCAAATTCAAAAAGAATGCTTGTTCATCACCGCAAGAGGTTTTGGAGCTCTTGCGAGCCTTTGGGCAATTGGAGAACATCTTCTGCTATGTGCCGTTCCAGCGGAAAGAGGTCTGGCCGCCACATATCCTCATAAAGAACATGTTGAAAGGATGATCTTGCCGCAGTGCTGATCTCTCGGAGGAGTTCTCCTTGCGATTCCTCGAGTATGTCCACGAAGTTTTCAAATGTTTCATCCGTTGGTTCGAGAATACTTCGGTGGTCAGGACCAGTCATATCACGTCCCCAGTATCAGAGATGAACTTACATCTTCTCAGTAGCCACAGAGCCGGGCGTCTCGCCGGGCTGGTCAAAATGAATTAGGCCGAGAACAGCATCCCCAAACCTATGAGCTAATATGTCTAGACGTTGTCCGAGTTTTCGAAACTCCAAAACCTTCCGACGTTTTCGTTTATAAACCGCGGAGCTGCTTTCCAGATCTGGTAATATTTTTTCCATCATCTTGTCCACTGCCGCCGCCACTGCAATGTTCTTTGGATTGCCTCTTGCCCTCGGGCGGCTATCTAACACATCGCGTGGCACTGCCCAAATAGTGAAGCTTGAACTGTGCTCAGCCGTCTCCCCACTCTGTCGATACATGTTCAGGATGTGGTTACATCGCAGAATTTGGAGATAAGCTGCATTCTCCTGGATTTCACCAATGACCTCGAAGCGGTCTTTGAGAGTGAGATCACGTGATACCCATTTTCTGCTTTGGGCGCCGTACAGATGGTCTTTTGTCTCTCTGCTGGATTTGAGAGCTGCCTGGAGGGTAACAAATGCCCGCGCGCTGCCTATCTGAAGCAAAAACAGACAGAGGCTTGAAATCAGATCCGGCTCGAGATCCAGCAGCTTGGTTTTAATGGTGTGTCTGAAGTAAGTATTTTGCGGGGGCAACAAGCCCAAAGCCTCGGTCATTTCGGCTTCTTGGCGCAGAATTGGTACGAATTCGCAATCAAAGCGCCTTTGTTTCCTTCTTTGCAGATTCATGCCGCCAACGTATCTTCGCTTGCCTGACGAGCGCTGGTTTGAGGACTGTTGACTCGACACCCAGCCCGAGAAATCGTTCGGTCGGTACGGCTCTTCATTGACCGTGGGAGAAATGTCTACTCCGGGAGTAAATACACGTCGGCCATTATGCTGGGCTGATAACTCAATCTCACGGAGAGTCCCGGTCTGGACTTCTTCACCGGGCGAAAGCAAAGCAATTTCCGGCCCCTGCCTCCTCTGAATCGGCTGGCCTAAGGTTTCGGCCACCCGGGGCTCCGAGATTTGATGCATGGTGTACAGCCCATCTCTCTTGAGTTCCCCTTTGTCATCGTAGCAGGTTTCAAAGATGGAGACGCCCCCTATTTCTGAGGGCGTCGAAAACTCTGGAAATGGGCAGGTGCCCTGGGTGAATGGTTCGATATCTTCGGCCTGAGGGCTCCATTCCTGCACGGAATTCCCAGAAGATATGTGGTCAATCTCATCTTTAAAGAGTTCCATCAAATTTACTCCATCAAGGCGCTCATCTAGAATCCTATTTGTCGTTCAGATTCATTCGCTGGGTCATTGTGCATAGGAAAACAGACTCACCGAAGCGCATACAATCCCTTGATCACGGATATCAGGCTTTTCGTTCGAAGATAGATAGCTCCTATGGTAGCACTTGCCGCCAGAGCTAGAACCCCGGAAGAATTACCCCCTGGTCTAGGATCTGTCCTTAAATGCTGGTCGACACCAGTCCGCTTTGCTATATCTGCGCGATGGGTAGTACTATTGACGCGGAATTTGAGCTTTGATGTGAAATCTCGAAAATTTTAGAAAGCAGGGTCGTGTATTGGATATGCAGATTTTACCTCTTGACAATGCCATCGTGGCACCGCTGAAATCAATCAAGAATCCAGTCACTCCCGATCCAAGCTGGGCTAGCTTTCTGTTCCCATCCGGTAGCGTCTCGTCTGCCCCGGCTGCCGTCAGAGCAACCAGTATGTCTGCTTCAGATAATACAGGGCATCTGACCAAATTCCGGATAAAATTCACGGATGCTTCCGTCATAGTTGAGATGAAAAGTCGTCAATGGTGATAGGGTTGTGATGCTACTGATACCGATATGGCCATGCAGTGGTTAAATATTCACAAAGAAAAACACTTCATGTACTGATCATTCCTGCACCAGGTCGATATGTTGGCCGCCTGAGCGTGACTGCGTGCTTGATTGGTTGACAACGTTCTCCTATGCATAAGTACGTGCAGCCACGCATCCACGTTGCGCACTTTTATTGGGAAGTTCTTGCAGTTTGAATTGAGATTTGACGTGTAAAATGCATGCCTGCAGTCATCATGTAATCTATGGAACGCAGGAGGCATACAGCCTCTCTGGATAATTCTTTATCAACTGCCATTAAATATATATGATCTTTCCGGTCAATTCACGAAGAACCATTGGCACTGTTACTTTTCCAATATGGAAAACTTCCGACCGCGCAAATATCAGATCGAAATGTTTGAGATGAGCATGAGAGAAAATATCATAGCAGTGGTGAGCTTCTTGTCTTCAAGTGAAGGAAATTCTGTAACAACTAAACTTATACACACAGATGCCGACTGGGAGTGGAAAGACCTACATGTACGGCGTATCTTACTCCTGGCCTTTTCGGAAATAATAACGACTTTCAGAGCTGGGATGCGGATCATGGCAGAGCTGGAACGTTGCCACAGTAATCAGGTACGCATATCTCCTCGACATATATCGTGGCTACCAACCAAAGACCCTGCCCATTAGATTGTCTGGTTTCTAGTTCCGACCAAGGTCCTCTGTGGTCAGCAATTCACATGCCTGTCGCGCGACCTCCCTGCAGTGAGTATGAGAACGCTGACAGGCGAAGACAGAGTCGAATGGTGGAGCTCTCAGGGCATATGGGATGCTGCACTTCTGGGAATCAAAGTGGTCTTCTCCACCCATGCTGTTCTGGCAGATGCCTTAACCCATGGCTTTGTTCAATTGTCGCGTCTGGCTTTGTTGATATTTGATGAGGGTAAGATAGATAGATTGAATCAGCATTCACTGAGATTGACAAAATATTAGCTCATCACTGCATGAAGTCGCATCCAGGAAATCGTATCATGCACGATTTTTACAAAAGAGCCAAAAAGGAAAAAGGCGTTGGGGCCTTGCCAAGCATTCTCGGCTTGACAGCTTCAGTTGATCCAGCGAAAGTCCGGTGCGTGAGGTCATCCGGTGCCCCCAGGAGGCAATTAGGCTAATGAGATTGAAGAGAGCTTGAAGAAAATCTGGATGCGACTTGTCGTGCCCCCCTCGCTGAGCGCCAGGAGCTATCAGAGCATGGATCTCAAACAAAGTTGACCAAAATCGTGTACTCTCAAATCCCTGACTCCGCAGATCCCCCACCCTTTTTGAAGAATTTGGACGAGGTTGTCATGGGGTTGCGTGAAAGAAGCAAATCCCAGGAGCTTCTCGCAAATGAGACTGTGAAGTTTTCTATGAAGGCCCGGATGACTTGGTATCAATTGGGCATATGGGCTTCTGGCTTTTTCCTCACTGAGATGCTGCGCCAAATTGCCTGCAAAAGGACTGCTCAAGAAACTGAGCCCTCACGTGGGTCCGCGGTTGACGAGTTTTCGATATTTTTGAAAAGGCAAGCTATAACCGAGGTCAATGTCCATCTCATGGAACCAGGCAACATTTCCAACAAGGTTGAACGACTTTTGTTGTTTTTGAAACAAAGAGCAGGCGCGAACTTTTCAGGAATCGTCTTTGTTCGAGAACGAACAACTGCGTACATTTTGTCGATATTGATCAACACACATCCAGCTACCCACGGTATTGTCCGTTGCGCGCCTTGTGTCAGCAATTCTAATCGCCGGGAGCCCTGGGCAGTGTATGGCTCCATGACTTCAAAAAGCAGCGAAAAGGTCGTTGACGAATTGCGCTGTGGGAAGATAAACCTGATTGTCGCCACCAACGTGCTCGAAGAAGGCATTGATCTTCCGGCATGTCGACTTGTCATCTCATTCGAAATTCCTGATACCTTGACGTCCTATATACAAAGGCGAGGAAGAGCTCGACAGAGAGTCTCTGAGTTTGTCGTCATGGAAGAAGAACATAAGGCACCTTCAGCTTCGCGCCAATGGAAAAGACTTGAAAATATGGTGCAGGATATTTGTTTGGACCATACTCGTTGCCGCCAAGAATTTGAGGTGGAAAATGGTTTACCTGAGAAAAGGACACTCCAATGTTCCCTAGACACAGGGTTTGTCTTTGATGTCCCACTCTTACTGATCTAATAAACTAAGCGATCCGCGCTTAGGGCGCTGTTGACAGCAGAGAACGCCCTACCTCATTTGTACCACTTCTGTGCGACTTTGCGGAGTGAAATGCTCGATGAGAAGACCCCCTCTTTCTCATGTCAGAGGAACCCAGACGGCCAATTTCTTTCCACGGTCTATCTACCGAGTGGGATTGATTCCTCGGTGCGGGTAGCGAAAGGACACCACTGGTGGGCCACAAAGAAGTCAGCGCTACAAGATGCAGCTTTCCAGGCGGTTTGCGCGTTACACAGTCAAGGCCTCGTCAATGACCATTTTCTTCCGTTATCTGACGATGACTTCCGGCCTGGATCCAGAGAGCGAAAAGACTCGACAGCCAAACTTCCCTCAGTGGAGAACTTCATCAGCTTTTGGAACGACATGCAAAGCCAATTTCCCGAAAGAAAAATGTACAGATGTTGTATTGAGATTTTGGAAAATACGGAGCCAAGGCCAGCTCTTGCAATGGCGTTATTTACATCTGTGAAGTTACCAATATCGGCGAACGTGGATTTGTACTGGGATGATCAAACGACATTTACAGCAAGATTGCAACCGCTCAATCAGGCAGTAGTGCTCTCGCAGGCTTTGTGCCATATCATCCAAAAAATCACAGCCGTTTTGTTACATTCCACCCGCGGAAGATCAGCGCCAGGGAAGTACGCAGACTTTCTACCTTGCTTTACACCGGACCTCCCGTTGGAAGAACTAGAAGATTGGCTCAAGACCTATGATGGAAGTTTCTCAGCCGAAAAGGGGCAAAACCAAACTCACCTGCTGTCACCCGATGGCTTTGTAAGAAGCCCTGCACTTCACTTTGTCCCCCACGTTTTCCGGAGGTGGAATCGAGACCCAGATACAAAGAGCTTGTCAATAGAGTGCCGGCAATTTGATAGAAGACGGAACCTCATACAACGAGCCACACTGGCCCGACACATCACTTTGCAAGAATCCCAGAGAACAGTCTGCATCCCTGCCGCACAGTGCACCGTCGACCTCTTGCCCTGGGAGCTGAGCCGAGCCAGCCTCCTGATCCCGCCCATGATACAGCTCATTCATCGTCACCTGATGGCACAGACCTTGCGTGATAGAGTCTTCAAAGATGCACCCGAAATCTGCTTGGACACTCTTGCAGAGGCAATCACAACCCCGGCTTCTCAATGGGCAGTGAACTACCAGCGATTGGAATTTTTGGGCGATGCGCTTCTCAAATTCATTGTCGCTACGGATCTTTTCCAGAGACATCCCCACTGGCACGAGGGCTACCTTTCGAAGCAGAAAGACCTGCTGGTGTCGAACGAGAGACTGACTCAAGCGGCGATGACTGCCCACTTGGAAAAATACATCTGCAATGATTTCATCACGCGGAAGCATCGAGCCTTTTCACGGAAAGAAGAACACGAATCGGATCAGGTGATACCAAAAAAGGTTTACGCTGATGTAGTAGAGGCTCTCGTGGCAGTCGCTTATAAGCATGGTGGAGTAGCACTGTCACGAAAGCTTGTGGGCATTTTTCTGCCAGAGCTGTCCCACATCACGCCGATGCAGAAGGAATTGCCAAAGCAAAATGGCCGATTTTCGTCTCATTTGGACATGAAGCTCGACAACATTGTCGGGTACAGATTCACGAATCGGTCTCTAATCTGGGAGGCACTCACACATCCCTCATGGCAAAGAGACCAATCAACCTCTTCCTACCAAAGGCTTGAATTCCTGGGTGATGCAGTATTGGATGTTCTCGTAACCAGAATGCTGGATTCCCAGTCTCCCGAGCTCACAGAGGGTCGAATGACAGAGCTTCGAGCCGCCTTAGTGAATGCCGACTTTTTGGCATTCCTATGTATGGACTCAGCCATTTCCGAGCCCATTCACGCCACAGCATCGACGGGCAGTCCCGAAGCCCTCATTCGAACGAACAACATCGCACTATGGATGTTGATGCGACATGACAATCCCAAGATAGTCGAACTCCAGACTGAATGTGCGAAGCGGTATTGCATGTACGGTGGGGTAGTCAAAAGGAAGCTTGATGCCAATGATTCATACCCCTGGGGCGCGCTTGCTCAACTAGGAGCCCCCAAGTTCTACTCGGATCTCGTAGAGAGCACTCTGGGAGCTATTTTCATCGAAAGCAAAGGATGTCTAGACAAATGCGAACGCTTCCTGGAGCGTATTCGCTTGGTGGATTACCTTCAGCGCTTTGTGAGACATAATGTTCCACTGGAGCATCCCAAAAGCGCATTGAATCGTATGACTGGCTCTGACAAAGCCGAGTTTGAGGTTCAGGAAACAGTAGATGGGCTGCGCAGCATCTCTGTTTGGTTGAAAGGCAAAAGGATCGCCTTTGTTGATCGGTGCCTATCTCGGACTGAAGCAGCTGTGCGAGGCGCCGATGAGGCTGTGGTGTCTTTGCGGTTACAAACTCAAAATCAATAGCCAGTGACAATAGCAAGTTGACGGAATGATCTCATTTGACTGCTCAGTAAGCCCATTCCTCCCAGTAAATCTGAGACATGAAAGTCTGCTCTGAGATTTAAATCGTTCTTCCGGTAGTATTTCCAAAGTGCACGTACTACTAGAAGTAGATGTATTGGAAGAAAATATTTCTTAGATGGCTGGTGAAATAACCATCATATGTGCAAAAGTGCTAAAAACTCTTCTCTTTTAGTTGCGCTTGACTCCATGGACCCCAGCATGCTGCTCGTTACTGTGGTGCTCCCCACCTTCTGTATGCCGCGCATGGCCATGCAAAGATGGGAAGATTCCATGACGACACCAACTCCCTGAGGCTCCAGGATCTCAAAGATGGCTGAGGCAACCTGTCTTGTCAGGCGCTCTTGTACCTGGAGTCTTCGAGAGAACATCTCGGCCAAACGAGCCATTTTAGAGAGACCCAAAACGCGCTCGTTGGGAGTATAACCAATGTGCATCTGCCTCACGAGGTCAGCTTCATTCAATCGAGCGGGGCGCAAGAGTCTCTACCTTTCCGGTGAAGGGGACCAGGTGGTGCTCGCAGAGTGAGAAAATGTCTATGTTCTTCACAATGACCATTTCGTGGTGATTCTCGTGGAAAATTGCTCCGTTTACCAGGTCTTGCATATTATCACCATAACCTTTGGTAAAAAAAAGCATGGCTCTGGCATATCGCTCCGGAGTATCTCGCAGGCCTTCTCGCTGTGGGTCTTCACCAAGGCATTGAAGAATTGTTTGCACAGAGCCCACAATCTTTTGAAAAAGCTTCTCGTTCTCTCTCACGGTGGACTCGAGAATCGGCTTTCTGTTCAAATCTAACAGGTTGCTGTGAGAGGTTCCACCCCTTTCAAGGTTTAGGGGAGGTAATTCCATGCCGACAGGGTAGGCTGGTAAGTTCAGCATACTGGAAGGTCGTTCTTGACAGTTCACAATCTCCCCCATGTTGCCGTAGAACAGATTTCAGCTGAGTGAGGAAGCTAGATCTACTTTCAAGTGGCGAACTGGTTCGTTCTTCTATTCAAAAGGAGTGGAATCAACAATGCTTATTTAAGGCGGGGATGCATGGACACGGGGGGCGACAGCCTGCCTCTCAGCCCGGAAACAAGGGTTGCGATAGACTCTAGATCTAGATAATAGAACATGACGGACTTGTTACATCTCCTGTCAGACTTGTGCCCGCATTAATTACAGGACTTTTGCGTTGTCTCAATAATCAGACCCGCTCTACCCGCTTCGACACACGTAATTCGATATTTTGAAAATTTCCTATCTAGAGTGACCTCTAGAGTGAACTGCAGCTCCTTTTGACCGAGACTCCAATCATACAGATGGGTTGCGGGGTCAGGCATCCGCTAACGGTGACCTGAAGCTGGGGCTATTCGCTCGCTTGCTCTTTCCCTCGGTGTGACTTGATTTTCTCTCCATGGAGTTGAGGCGGCATAGATCGAAGCCCGGCTATGATAATATAACTCTCCGGTGTTTTATGATATCACTGACGGTTGTTTGCCACCAGGAACACTTGTTGATTTGGCATTTGGTGGAGCTGAAAGGATTATCTTATTATGATAGCTGTTTTGACAGATGAGCAAAATTCCCGTTCAATTGTAGGTACCAGCCTGGGACAACTGCACTAGCCCCTTTGACTTCCCCCCCTCAAAAAATTATGCCATTTCCTGGATCCTTGTGCCGAAATGCTGCATCAGAAGCTGCTGAATGCTCGAATTAGCTCGATTTCTCACGGCTTATGGAGTCTGCTGGTCGTTTCCATCTTACATGTTTTGTCGTATCAAGAAACGTATATGTTCATTCATTGAATGCGGGAGTAGGACTTAGCCAGATTGCTGGTACTGTGCCCGCGGCCAATGTGCTGGCACAACATGACTGGCTTCATACCAGGCCCCCGCCCCAACTTGTTTCGCGCTATTACAAGAAATAGCCACCTATAAGATGACCGTTGCACTCTTAATGACAAGACAAGCGCGCTACTGAGCTCTGATATCCTACCAACTCTCAATGGCCATGGTGACTCTCGACTTCCTGAAACTCGCCCTCAGGCAGAAGGCCATAGAGATGTCCTCCTCGGAAAGGTCCCTTAGTGAAGAGCAGTACAATTCTGGATTCGAAATTCTGATGCGTGGCATGGAGTGGATTTCCTATCGGGACTTCATCGTTCCCCAACTATCTTTGCTAGTCGCAAGTCTCGTCAACTCGCATGGCTCGATTTCTGTACTTGAGATCGGATCTGGCGGGAAAAGTGTAGTGGGATATCTGCCCCGACATTTGCGGCACAACATTGAACGATACGTTGCGTTCGAGCCAAACAACTTGTTCGCGACAAGTCTGGAAGAATGGCTTTCTCCCGCCGCGAAGAGAGAGTCCCCACTCCCTGGGCTACAAAACCCTCCCGAAGTCCGTCGACTACCGTTTCTTCCACACCACCATCAAAGGAGTGACAGGGGTCCTTGTGAGAGTTCCAACGGAGAAAGATTTGACCTCATCCTTTTTTGCCACAGCATGTACAGCATGAGGCCTAAAGCCAACTTTATTGAACAGGCGATGGTGATGCTTCACGAACGACGAGGAGGTGGGTTGGTGGTTGTTTTCCATCGCGATGGAACATTCCGTCTTGACGGTTTGGTATGCCATCGAACATCCTCTTTTCCGACAGGGGCTGTTTGCGTGACAGATGCTGATGATGAACTGGACCAATTCGCTGCTTTCATCGCAGGGTTTCTCGAGGCGGATGTAGAGGCGGGTGGGGGTCTTCAAGCCGAATGGCGGAAAACCTGCCGCGCCTTAGGCAGTCGGAAAGAAACTTCCCCAAACCAACTTTTCTTCCAATCGCCAAGCTTTATGATAGCCTTCAACAAAAATGCAACGGCTTTACCGGAGTTGTTGGCGCAGGTTCCCTCTTTGAAGGGGGACAGATTGATCAAAAACCGCGAGGCACTTCTACGCCATCCTGCGTCCCTTTTACGACCGACAGATGTTCAACAGCTGCAAAAATGTCTGCAGTGGGCTCTGAAGCATAGATTGAGCCTCAGCGTTGTTGGCGGCGGTCATAGCGGCCACTGTCTATGGTCGAACGTCGTTGGGGTTGATATGAGCGCCTTTGATCAAATTCGCATCATCCCCGCGGGGGGTGATGGAGATGAATGCAACCCAGACTCTGATGGCCTCATTATTGCCGGAGCTGGCTGTACGACGGAGGACATCATTCGCAAAACCATGGCGGTGGGTTTGACCGTACCCTTGGGGGCCCGCCCAAGTGTGGGCGCAGGGCTGTGGCTTCAAGGTGGCATCGGACATCTAGCTCGACTCTACGGGCTTACATGCGATGCCATCGTGGGTGCTGTGATGATAAGCGTTGCATCGAGCCAAGTTCTTTGCATCGGCCTGGTACCACAGCAAGAACGGCCAACGGGTGCCGTGGTTGCGGAAAACGAAAGTGATCTGTTGTGGGGGTTGAGAGGCGCAGGTACGAACTTTGGCATCGTAGTCAGCGTCACCTTCAGAGCATATGTGGCCCCGGCTTACTCGATCCGAAATTGGCACATTCCACTGAATGATCCACATGAAGCAACTCTCAAGATCCACAACTTCAACTCCTTGGTCGCCAAGAATCTTCCTCGAGGAATTTCTGCAGACGCATATCTTTACTGGGACATTGGCCAACTCCAGCTTGGTATCACTATGTTTGAATGTTCTACGATCAGGCTCGCCACGGAGCTTTCGTTGATCACAGATGTACGCGCAGTCTTGGGACTGGAAGCCGAGTGCAGTGTGGCGGACGGTGTCGGTCTGTTTGACGCCGAGATGTACATCTCCAAAATGCACGGAGGTCACGGTAGTAGCAAGACATCCTCATTCAAGCGATGTCTCTTTTTGAAGGATATCGGGGCGCCGAATACCGCCGCAGTACTAGTCGCGGCCATTGAGTCCCGCCCCACACCACTGTGCTATCTGCATTTATTGCAGGGCGGTGGAGCAGTCCAAGATGTGGCAGCCGATATGACGGCTTTTGGCTGCCGGGACTGGGATTTTGCCTGTGTGATAACTGGAGTATGGCCTCGTGATCAAGATGGAACCGAGGTCGCACAAGCTGCGATTGAATGGGTATACGGCGTCGCCAAAAGACTATTGCCGTTCAGCGGCGGGGCTTACAGCGCAGACATTGGGCCGGATCCTAGAGATCTAGCACTGGCAGCCAAGGCTTTTGGACCTCATCGACCACGTTTACGCCGTCTCAAACAAACCTCGGACCCTCAGAATGTGCTGGCTCATACTTGCCCACTCCTGGACACAAGACCGGGCCAGAGACTCATCGTACTTGTCACAGGCGATGTTTGTGCCGGCAAGGACTATTGTGCTGGCGTTTGGGTATCCGCAATCACGTCATGTTCACACAACAGCCTCGCCGCGCGCTCAGTGAGCATCAGTGATGTGACGAAGCGGGAATATGCGGTTGCTACCGGAGCAGATGCAACTCGTCTGTGTGAGGACCGTGCTTACAAGGAGCAACACCGTTCAGCGTTGACAGCGTTCTTCCAGAACCAGGTGCAGCATCAGCCTTGTCTGCCGGAGCAGCATTTCGTGAATTTGGTTGAAAACTCCACAGATGTGGATGTACTGTTTATCACGGGGATGAGAGACGAGGCACCGGTTGCAGCCTTCTCACATTTGGTTCCAGACTGCAGATTAGTCGAGGTCCGCGTCCGAGCCAGCGAAAAGATGCAGTTTCATCTTTCAGGGTCCCGTGCTGAGGGTCACTCTGATGCAAACTATGAATTCAATCCTCCTAGGCCCAAGCTAGCAGCGCTTGACCACTGCCCCGGCCTCGTGTTCGATAATGATACGACCGGGAGCGACGCAGCAACGAAGTTCGCCGAAAAACGTCTCCTTGCGTTCTACGCAGAAGACCTACAGCTACTCCGCAATATGGCGCGTCCGGTGCCTGATTTTCCACGTGCGGGCATCACCCTTCATCACGTGCTCAATATTCCGCAACAGCCGGGTGGGCTGGATCTGTGCACATCTCTACTGCAGAACCATTTCACCGGTGACTGGGCCAAAATCAATCGCATAGCTTGCTGCGAGGCTGGTGCTTTTGTTTTTGCTTCGTCGCTGGCCTCGCGACTCAACATACCTTTGGCGTTGATTCGTGAAGCCGGCAAGCTTCCCCCGCCTACCTATTCCGTCCCCAGATCCAAATCTCATATCTCGAGATTGAATCCTACTAAGGGCAGTAGAATCGAGATGGAAAAATTTTTAATTTCTCAAAGTTCTTCAGTCTTGATTGTGGATGACGTGCTCGCTACCGGGCAGACCCTTTTGGCGGTATTACATCTTTTGAGGATCGCTGGCGTCCAGACTCAGGATATCAGCGTCATGGTTGTAGCCGAATTCCCCGTTCATCGTGCCCGGGAACTGTTGCGACGATCTGGATTTGGCGGCGTCAATATTCAAAGCCTTTTGGTATTCGATGGGGACTAAGGTGCAGAAGTGTGGGGGCGTCTCGGTCTTTTGGTCAAATCCACGGGCTTGAATAATTCTATATCTTTATTGCCAAATGTGTTTTTCTTGTGAACTCTTTTTTTGTTTCCTGGACGGCCGATCCCCATCAATTCACCAAAGTCTTTTCATGGTTCCTGTTATATATAGTAGTAATGTATTTTGCCATTGATGTTATGCCAAATCCGGATCTATCCTCTTCCCTCCATCGAAGTTTGAGATTTCTAGATTGATTCTCCAGCTCCCTAATCAAGAATGCAATGGGCAGTCAAGGGATATCGACAATAGAGGGACCACTGGACTTTGGGAGAAAGGAGACAATCTATATTAGGCAGGATCATCGAAGTGTGAGAAAGGGAAAAGCAGCAACAAAGACGGGTCTCTTCTACTGGCGGCATTGATAGTCGGTTACGTGACGGCGTATTGGGGTGCCAAGTCCAAGAAGGCAGGAGTGACCTGATAGAGTAATTCACAGTTTCGCCGTTCACACGTAATGAATTTTTGTATGGCTCAAGAGATATGTATTGAGTCGCGTTCCGTGGAATTCGAACCATACTGGAAATCTTGCTACCCTCAAGGTTGGGACAATCCTAATCTTTGGACCTTCGGGCTGTTTACGAATAACCCTGTCAATTGAAATTGGCGATCCTTCTCGTATTGCAGCTAAGAAGGTTCCTTTGACAGGATTGATCAGGTCACAATATCTTCAGCACAGGTAAGCCATCATTACGATTGCCTCTGCCCATCGATCGACGATAGTGACTGATGCACTTACAGTAAACAGACTTCCGCACGTGGAGGAAAAGCCAGGTATGTAGATCATAATCAAAATACGAAGCAGAAATGATACCATCCCCGTTCTAGTGACCTATCAGTGTCTTCAAGCTTGGTCTGCCGCTTGGTGATATGGAGAACATCTAGCGTTGGCTTTTCTTCTTGGGGTAGGTCAGTTCCGAAGTACCGTAAGGGTAGTGCTGCGTTTCCTACATATATATAGTTTTATGTCGAAGATATCCTTCCACCGACGCTACCGCAATGATGAGCGCATTAAATGCCCATAGGCAAAAGCGTAGTGCAGGTTACATTTTAACGAGTTGAGCAATAGGTATCTATGTCAATAGGTTGCTTACAGATGTCATTGCCACGATGACCAGGATTTGCAACAGGTCTCGTCTTGACCAACTCCGCAAATCGGGTCTCTATGATGTTGCCTAACTCAGCAGGTCTGACGAGCTCTTTTGTAGCCTATATGTGATCAGGATTGCTACTTGCTGTTTTCGCTCTGCATGTTTTCCCACAAACAATGAGCGTGTAGAGTCTCGGAAGAGTAGGCACTCTAAAATTTCATATCCGTGGCCACTGGAGCTTACCAGAAGTTCAACAGCAGGACGATAGTACAGGAGGAAGGACCAAGCCCACCGTTGTCAAATATATTTTGGCATGCGAATTATGTGGCTGCAGATCACCTGGTATCTATTTCATTTACACAGTTTCTTGCCGTGTTTGGGTGTTTTCGACTCGGTATGGGTAAATTTACAGAACAAGGAAAAGTAACGCGGACCAAGAGAGAGTGGTGAAAAATAATAACGGAATGCATATAGTAGCAATCAAGCAGCTACTGCCAAGCGTACACATAAACTCGTCAGCAAGATGCGCCCAGAACATCGACCCTCCTTTCCGATCATCGCGGATGGTATCAACTGGATCACAATATTTCTTCCTGATTACGGTGTTGATGCTAAAGAAAAAGAGGGGTGAGTGAGAGAAAATTCGAGTAGGTACGATGCGCTTTCCCATTCCTCTCCAAATACAAAATGAGTGACATCTCGGACGCCTCTTTTACCTTGCATTGAACAAGAATAATACTTGTCTCACCATCCTGACTAACGCTGTTCTGTAAATGTGGCGTAGTTCTGGATGCCTATCGGCGTGTCAATTTGGGCACTGCCTTCTTTGTTTATTTATTTATGTCTGCCTCCAGCGGAGCTCATCAATGCCTCAGCTGTGGCCATCAAGCCGATGAATGATTAGCCGGTCTCATCTAAGTTTGAGTTATATAGACCTAGTCATCCATTCAACACCAAGATGAATCTGGACAGAAAATTTTAATTGTGACTTTAGACCTATTTGGGTGAGTACTACATGCAACCATGTTCGGTAGTGAAACGCGGTGAGTTAGTGGAAAGTACATAAATACGGACCCCGCGTCGTGTGGCGCACCACAGGGCACCTCTTGTTTATGATATGCCCATGGATCTCGTCTTGCTTTTTTTTTCCTCAATTCTACCTTTCACTTCAACTGACATTTGAAATGACTTGCTTTGGGATGCCTGCAACACTCCTCTATATCGTGTTCATCGCGGTAAGGCATTAGACTTCAAACCTGACGGTGATCCCCGTTGACATGCCTTGCCACTAGGGAGGTGTCATCTCTGTGATCCTTGGAGCGTAAGCTAGTGCGCTTTCAATCTCCGGGAAAATGTGACTGACAGCTACATCTCACGGAACAGACTGTCTTGGGCTCGAGCCTCGACGCTACATCTTCCGCTACCAATGTGGCTACCAGCTATGGCGACCCTGGTCACTCCAACCACGTTAATGACACTGATGCTGATGCGGTTCTTTTCTACGCGTCTGAGCAATGGTTCCGCCCACAAATATCAATGGAGCAAGGTCTCTGATATAGTCAATCAGGTCCAAACTGTCGTTTTGACTGTCTTGGCCACAGCAGCACTTGGACAACTCTTTCCCAATAGAATTCTCTCATGTCAGCTGGAGCAACAATGGCAGGCTTACTTCCGGTCGAAGAATGCACATGCCGTCCGCTCGATACAGGATGAGTTCCGATGCTGTGGTCTTAGAAGTCTGCGCGATAGGGCGTGGCCTTTCAAGGACCAGAACCACGGAGACAACGCATGTGAATTGCAGCTGGCATATCAGAGGAGTTGTCTCAAACCTTGGGGGGAGCACCAGCAAAGTACCGCCTGGATGATTTTTGCAGCGGCTGTGCTTGGTTTCGTGGCAAAGGTTTGTTGGGCCTTATTGTTACATTGGGGTTTTCAGATATTGACTGACAACCTGCAACTCTTCAGATCGCATTAGCTCAGCTCTCTGCATACCAAGCGAGTTGGCTGAGCACACAATCTGCCAGCAGGGGCCCTGGTTTCTGGCGGATCTCGCATCAAGCGGTGCAGCAAGAAGAGGATGTGGACGGTGCTGACGAGGGGTCACGGGGAGCGTTGCTGCCCCATTCAAATATCAACTGCAGAAACGACTGGCAGGAAGATTAAGTCCAAAGAGCCTGCCTTCGAGCCGATGGGAACAAGGTATAAGGCGCAAATCCATCACCTCTGAATTGGCGTGGCTAGCACAACTAGCATTTGTCTCAGCGAAAGCCACCAGAGTTATGCATCTTTTCACAGGACAAGAGGTTGTGCCTTCGACGCTAGAGTGAAGGGAAGTGCAAAATCAACTTCACCATTTCACGCACTTCTAGATACTGTTGCTGTAAGAACTGGACACTATAATCTCTCTCTTCAATTTGTTGAAAAGGTATCCGAGGACAACTGATCGACTGTTCTGCTAGGAAAATATATGAAATACTTTCGGTATAACTCTGCGCCGAATGTTATGTACCAAATCGTTTCCAATGCATAGACCACCAAAATGTATACCAGACACAATCAACTGCGTAGCAAGTCACATAATAATGACCAAAAGCACTACATCCACGGTAACTACTTAACTTTGCCATGGTGACCAAGATGCGTAGCGGGTACCAGGGCAATGAGCCTCACTGAACAGCACCTCATCAGTTCTAGACTCACACAAAGAATTTTGACCGCGCTCGACATGGCTCGGTCCAGAGAGATTGGCATGTCTTTGTGCTGTCGCTCGATCCACCCAGTGGGTAACCTGTGTCTGAAAGCTAGGGGAGCATCCACCCTTCTATTGTACGAAGTCCAAATCCCAGCGAGGGATTGGAAAACGGCGTAGGGATACACTCTTATCTTTTTGTCGTCCTGCTCATTTTATTCTTTAGTGCATGATTGACGGGATCAGGCCCACCGCCAATGCCATCTGACAACAAGAAACGAGAGAGATTTGTCCTTTCATTCCCTCAGCCGCCATCTCTCTCACCAAAGTTTACACTGCGAGTCTACTTACCCTATTGTAGTCAATGCGTCCAACTTGCTTTACCCATGCTTGCTCTCCCGGCCAAACAGGGCCTGTCGAAATTACGTGTCTTGTGCATAAGCTCTGTGGCTTCTCTGACGACCTGATGCGAGAGCAATCAACCCGATCGGGACACTGACATTTGCTTGCCAAACCAGATAAGGCCGGCTTTGGCGCGCCGCTCGATTTTGGCAAGGTCACCTCTGCTCAGATTGGGGTGCTTGAGCGCCGTCTTACAAGATGTTAATAATACCAGGGGTGCCGGTTTGATCAGAGTGTCGATGGTGCTATGGGTGAGTGTCGCGAATGTTTAAGATGAATGCAAAACAAGCCAAGCCGGATTTCATGAATAGGTCGGCGATGCTAACCTTTGAAGTACGCAATACGGCCATTGGTTGTGTAGAGGAGGTGAAAGAAAAAGCAGAGAACTCTGCGTGTAATGGAAATAACAAGCAAATCATTACATAATTGGTATCCATGACCAGGGAGTTGAGGTCAAGATGTCGAGGAAGAAGCGTCAACCTCAAGTGCCGGTTTGGTCCTTCTGTCCCGGTCTTATATATCCCACGAGCTGGGTACTAATGCGAGGCGTGTTTTTATATAAATTTAATTTCAGGCTTATGTTTCTTGGGATTTTCGCCGTCTACCAAGTCTCTCTCTCTTCCATTAGCAAGGTGAGCGACCAGCTCTTTCCAGGTGAGAGTTGCACCCACAGTATGCCCATGCCAAGGGGTGTTAACCATCCTATCACGACAGACATGAGGTCTCATCTTAGCTTTATTCATAATAGATCGAGACAGATCGAAATCATCAAGAGCTGTGAGCGCCAAAAGTCCCAGGTTGCGGTACATAGCGACTAGTGAAAGATCAGAATTTATCCCATCGGCGCCAGCCGGAAACTTTTTCAATGCCGCGAAGTCGTGGAGCCCGAATGTCTCTGTTCCCCGTGATATCTATAGATATTCTATCTCAAATATTCGATTGACCATGCCGCGGTCGCAGGCAATCTTGCAATAAGCTCGTGTAGGCTGTCCGTTCTCCCGAGAGGTGTGCTTGCTACCCCAGTGGCTCGAGGGTAGGGTGTAATTTCTGTCGCTATTTGACTGGCTGCGTAGCAGTGAATGGCGAATGCAAATTTTCATTACTGCCGCTGCCCTTGGCCGATGAGTGGTTCGGAGTATATTCCGGCACAAGAGTCGTTGGTTGGAGGCCGGTGGGTTTGACGGTAAGGTTCCAAAATTTTCCCCCAAAGAGTCCAGGCATGCGAATTACACGCGCTTTAACTTGCCGCGCACGCACCATCTTACTTCGAAGACGGTGCTCCGGCGACCAGCACCTGGGAGGTGAACACAAGCAACTGACCGATTACTCTCTGGTGGAGGGGCCACTCATCGTTCACCCACGCGTCGTGATTCTGGGTGTAGAAGTAACACTGAAGATATGACGATGTCACACCTCGGCATGTGGGGAAAGATATAAGCGCTTTTAGTGCAGACGTAGCTGTGTTGAGCGCCACTATCATGTGGTCTCCGATTGTTAAACGTTCAACCTGACCTAACACCTGTCATAGAACACGAAGCCGCTTTGCATCTCCTGGTGTGTCTTGCGATCGCTCTTTTCGTGCTCGCTTGCGTGCTGACTTCACTCTCAATGTCGATCGGTGAAAGTCGATAATTAACGCCCTCCCAAGCTCGCTGTTCCAAAGTACGTTATCGAAACGAAGGTCTCCGTGGACAATCCCCAAGGCTTTGATTTCCTTGTACGACTTGCTGATCTGGCCGACAAGCTCCGATGTCGGTTCCATGGTTGCAGTACTTACCCCTCCCCAGCCCATAATGAGCATGTGACGAATATCTCCGGCCCCATGAAGAAAATAAACTTTTGCCAAGTCTATTGTACCCAGGAAAACAGGTACAGCTGCTGCTTGTGCTTTCTGTAGAATTTGATACACTTGTGCTTCGCGGGACACTTCTTCCCACAGGCACGACGTGGTCCCTTTTCCTAGAACCACATAGCCATATTTAGCACAAGCAAGTTTGAACGGAGCACCATATGCTCCACAAATCCCAAACGGAACACAACGGTCGATGTTTTCGTCCAGCTGGGCTTTCAGGAGCTTCATCAAATCCGCTGAGGTGATGGCGTGCTTCATGGAACCTCGACCACGGCGATGTAGCTCCACGTTTGGGCAATGTTCGTCGAGGATGTTTCCCGCCTGCAGCCCCAGTAAACACCGCTGGGTGCAGAATTTTGAATCAGCGCGTACGGAGTGACTGTCTGGGCCCGGTCTTGTTTCACTTTGACGAGCCGCTCGTTGAGCGGACGGGGAAGACGTGACCTGACTGAAGCCCCGTTTGCGCCCAGTCGCTTGATTCGAATCAGACTCCGATGACCCTGGCGAGGGCAGCCGGTGTCGGGAATCTGAGGGCGCACAGCTGGTTTGAGACCTCGTGGTCACTCGGCGACCCGCTGTTGGAGATTCTAGCGGAGGCGATGATGGTTCGTAATTTGAACTCGGTTCCGGGCTCACATACTCCGAGTTAGTACTGTCGGAGTGAAGAGCAATCTGCTGCATGACTCCCTCGGGGATCTGAGATCGAGCGTGGTCGAAGCTGGTTGACCATAAAGGAAGCCGTGACCGTGCAGAATTTCTCCATTCGTGGTCACGAATAGGGGAAAGGAATGCCATCAAACACAGACACAAAACTCTGGCGACGGAGGTCTTTGGCTCTGAGGGACCTTGTTCACTGTTCGGATCACAAAAGAAATAGTACAATGTACTAGGATCCTCGTATGGAACGCGGAGAAGGACACGAGCGACCCCATTAGTGACATAAGAGTATTCGAGTCCCTCTTGAATCATCACATGGTACTCCTGAACGATAGCGGAGCACACGAGCCGCTCCGCGTTGTATCTCAACTTCTCTTCATGATCCGTCGGAATTTTGTTTGATCGGACCAGGTATTGCCACAAGTCCATATCCCTGAGCCCCACCCGGAGGGCTTCGACGGGAAGCTTGTGGGGCGGCTTATACTCGACCGTAGTGAGGAGGGTGTTGGTGCTCCCGTCGACTCGGTGTACACAGAACTGATCAGGCCGGGGTTGACGTATGTCTGATGGCTGGTCTGCATTAGTCTCACGGGCGCGGTGCGGATCAAACGAGTTGGTGTGATTGTCGAACCAGATTCCATCTCCAAGTCCGAATTCGGCTCGGGCACCGTCAATTTTGCTGAGTTCGGCAATTATATCACGGACATGATCCTCCACGGCCGTTCGCTCATAGTTCTCGAGGCCTTGCTCACTGCTGATGGGTCGGAGACCCAATCGTCGAGCATCCTCCTCAAGCGCGATCAAAGGGGTAAATAATCGTGCTCCGGCTTCCTCGGTCGGCTTGAGGTAGTCGCACACAGATCTGAATATTTTCTGCTGTTGGGCTGAACAATCGGTCCACGGTGCGAGTCGTGTAGGACAGTATTTTCCGGTGGGAGGAGGTATAGTCCCTGCAGTCGAGCGAGACGGTGTTTCGAATTTTAACGGTCGGGAAAGTAAGCTGTGGCAGAAGCGAAGGAGTTCGGCGAATGTTGTTCGTCTACTGCGCTCTGTTTGTTGCTTCTCTCGCTCTTCGGCCTCCTTCCGTCTCTCCGATTCTTGCCTCTGACGCTCGTCCGCCTGCTTCTCTCGCTCTTCGGCCTCCTTCCGTCTCTCTGATTCTTGTCTCTGACGCTCTTCTGCCTGCAGAAATAGTTTCTTATAATCGGTGGGACTCGTATTGGCCATCGGGCTGTCGAAAGGAAAACAAAGATTGGGACCTTGAGCTAGCTTATCAGCTGATCCAAATTTCAGTGAAGGTGTTTTTCCGGAGCCCGCGTCTCAGGAGTAGCAGATAAACGAGACAAGAAATGAGCATTAAAAAGACTGGTGAGGGTGAGAGGGTACATCCTGACAATAGGACGAACTGACATGTGGAATACGCGTGTCACGGGACGCAGGTTCAGCTTACTCACACCCCTTGGCTCAATGTGGTTTATGCCTCAGGCAACAATACACCTCGGTCTCGGGCGCTTGGTTAGTCATTGATAACTAATATATGAATGAATTCCAAATTTTGACGTAACACTATCACTATGTTCGGATGATTATCTCAACTGAATAAATTGTAAGGCCCATTTTGCGTCCCATCAATCGACCCCACCTACTGCACGGATTATCTTGTCTGGCCTCTCTGTAAAGCCCTTTAATTGCGCTGCCGAAAAAAAAAAAAACTTTTTCCTGATAGGAGGTATGCACCGGTCTTCATCAATAACATGGTAAGTCCATGTGTACTTGTTTGAATTCATCGTGGGGACTCTAAGCAATTTCCTTCTGCGATATATTCTCGTTTATGCTAGTAGTTAGATTCGAATCTATACCCTGTGATTACCTCTTCGGATTCCGGTAACACTAAGCTCGGGACTATAGTATATTCATATAGTATTGTGCCATCACGCAGATAAGGTCCATGCTATATGCGGGCTGATAGAAGCCCCGAAATCCATCGCCATCAGATACAACGAGATACCATTGCTATCATCCGTTCCAAACCCATTCTGGGAACAGTTGGTTAGCCTTCAAGACAAAAGGAGCTCCCAAACCAACGAAGTTCTGTCGTTCGGCATGAATGCCTCGGCTAAGCAGGACATACCTCGAAGGCATGGTGCCAAATAGCCGTCTCTATCAGGGTGTTCTCCAACTATTTGACCAAAAGCCCGAAGTTTTCGAGGCTGTTTCTATCGTCCCAATTGAGGGGTACACTCTACCAACGGAAATGACATCTGATGACGGTAGCTAGGGTCTGAATTTCTCGAAATATCTAATCATGTGTCTCACACAAGTCGGCAGGCTCGATAAGTCCCTTACTGTAAATATTTTCAACAGTATACCTCTTATAGCAAATGGAGAGCAACCGACCATTATGTATAAGAGGAGAGGCAAAGCACCCCTTCTAGTGCTTACCTGTAGATACACAATCAAGCACTGCAACACCAACAGAGCATATATTATTACCTGTAGCTTCTGGAATGTTGTATATGTTCTTTTACATTGGCCTGCTGAGCAGATACAAAGACTCAGTCCTCTATCAACATCCGCAATTAGGTAACCCCAGATGATACTGATTCGATATATATTCCCTTACTCCTCTTCCAGACTGGAGGCAGATATTATACTATGATTGCCATCAACAGTTGGCGTCAGTCATCAATAATTGGAAGACCTCAAGATGAATGCCAGGCAGCAATGTCAGGGAAGCAACACCAGGTAGATGTCATATACCTGATCGCCCCCAGTGAGCTCGCACTGGGCAACAGTCTTCGCCAGGCTGTTGGGACAATGAATTCATACCTTGTCGTGGTATCCGGTATTAATCCCTGTTGGGGAGACCAAAGTGAATCCGACGTGGTTGTGCGATCCGGCCCGTTGCGGGGTACCGACCGCACAACCACACCAAAATCAGGGAATGGGATATGAAAACCATCCGACTTCTTTTTACCCGACTCGGACTCGGGCCCAGACGCTGGTCTTGCATTACCAGTGAAAGTGGTGTCGCCCTAAAAAGAAGACAGGACACCCCTGAGCTTGCATACGGTCCGGGATCGCTTGCGAGATGCGGCGAGGCGGTAGTGAACCGGTGACACAGGCAGTCAAGCTGAATTTGGACAGACCTCGTTCAAGGCCCAGAGGACTCTTTAAGACTCGAACTCGTTAAGGCTCGGAGACATCCTGAACTGCAGACCTCGTTAAAGCTCAGCCACGGGCAACCTCGGTACAGCTGTTCTTCGAGACACGGGCACCCTCCTGGGAGACACACGGGCGATCTGGAAAGGGTTGGTAGCTGGCTGGTGGCAATCAACGAACCTCGTTAAGGCTTTGCCACGGGCAACCCGTCGATCCTGTTCAGACATTGGTGACCATGCTTGGTTAGTGGAGAGTGACCAACGTACACTGCCGGATGGAGTGGATCCCAGGGCTCTCTGCAAGACACGGTCGGACTGGTGGAGGGAGACCTCCCTAGGTAACGCGAATCAAGATTGAGAGCTCTTGCGGGGCGTGGTATAGCAGCCACTTCGACAGGGTCGGGGCCTATCAAGAGACTGTCTGTATGGCCCGAGAGGACGGATGCGCGTGTCGGTGTACAGAGAGCCGGTAGTCAACTACCTCACTCGGACTGGGGGCCTGAAGCCGGTTTTGGTCGGTTGAAGCGGCGTCGTCTTAGTTGGCATTCCTGTGATGTATGCTTAAGGAGCAAACTGAGAGACACCCAGGGTGAGAGGCTTAGTGAACCTCAAGAGACCAGAAACCCCGTTTACTGGGTGGAAAACTGGGGAAGTGGCTTATGCAAGTAAGCCTGTCGAAGCTACTTAATGTCTTTTGGCCACGCGATCAGCACAGTGTTCAAGATGGCTCACCGGCGATCAAAAACGGAAGAACGACAAACGACTGCCACCATACTCTGCGATAGCAGGTCAGCCTTACAAGCAATAAAGAACGCGAGAAACAAATCAGGACAACGGATTGTTTTCCCGATCCACCAAGCGCGACCGAGGTTCAAATTGCAGGGGTCGCGTTGCGCCTTCAGTGGGTGCCAGGACATTGTGACAATCCCGGCAACGACGCTGCGGACCGGATGGCGAAGCACGCTGCCAGCCCAGGCAAATCTCACCCCTTCCGCCCGCTTCTTACAAGGGAGAGAGCGTTCATCCGTGGCAACATCGCCGCTCAAAGGGCCCCTAAAAAACCCCTAACCCCTACCCTAATCCCTAATCCCTTACTCCTAATCGGCCGTCCGCGGCGGGCGCCAGAAGGGCCATGTTTAGCGCGCCGATGGGTCCTCATCGTCTCGACCGTACGACACGCAAATTCACAGTTTGCGCCCGGGCAACCACACTCACGATAAACTGGTAAGCCGGGGATTGGTCGGGCGTCCGGTGGGGGCGGGCAGAATGGCTCGATGTCCGGATTCCATGGATGAACTTTTAAAGCCTCGGCCTGGATCGCTGCTCGCTGGGTATATGAGCAGGCAGAGGGATGACGGGGGTGCTTTCTGGTCAGGTGGGAAGAAATTTGTTGGGCGACCACAGCATATTGGCAGGTCTTACAGATCCAGATCCGGTGAGTAGTGTTGTAGGTGAATAAGTCTGCGATTGACTCCATCATAAGAGCATGGTCTAGAAAGGCAGACAATGAGAGTAAAGTTGTAAAAACGCCGAGAAGAGGGAAAGTAAATGAATATAGCTTGAGAGTGGAAGAGGTGGAAGGGGAAATCAAGGAGGTAAAGCAGATTATAAGGGCGCTCTAATGATTATCATCCTTCATAATGGGTAGGCATCTTCAATTGATAGATCTAAAATAGTAAAACGCCTCTAAAATTAGGGCTAGACACGCGACGCGACGCGTGACGATGCGACTGTGCGATACTGATCAAAGTCCATGTCGACAATGATAGCTGTGAGACGATGCCTTCGGTCGGGATTTAGAACTATACCTCGGATGAGTTTGGAAATTCCAACCGACAATCGGGCTTGACTGGAGTTGAATACACTGGAGTAGTGTCTTCATGAGACGTTGGGATATATATCTGTGTTCCTGCCGGGCAGGGCCGCTGGTAACATTTACCCCCCAAGTCTGATTGATGGCGCTGTTAAACGATAGTCACTTATAGAACGGGGATAGACGAAGGCGTCTTTTGCTCTTATCCGCAACTATTCTTTACAGTTTTATCGGTCTCTCTATAAGACCAGAGGAAAGAAGAAAGAAAAGCATTAGAAATATTCATTACTATGGTCGGTTGGTCTCCGCACGGGCACGCACATGGGGCGCCGGGAGCACGCACGGCGGACCAATGATAGATGCGGAGAATGGGATGGACCCCCATTCCAGCGGCCACTAGTTAGTTAGGGTAGAAGGGCCCCTAAGGCCAAAAGTGGTGCCTGAACTGGAAAAGCGGGTCTCCCGGTCGCACCCTAACAGAGGGATTCTGGGGTTTTTGACGAATTTCAATCACTTCGTACAACTGCTATAGTAGACTGCTGACTTCATAAATCTGGCTGGGAATAGACCTAATACCTAAATAGAACTCCTGTGAGTTTGGAGGGAATCCGACTACAGATGCCCAGAGTAATGAGGGTGTCAAAATTCTCAGCAATGAGGGTCGCGGGGATAATTCTGCCCATAGTTAAGCAAACCCTTCCGCCCAGCAACGAGGCTCATTGCCCACGGTCCCATAGGATAGTGTCCAACCAGGGCTTGTTCATGAGGTCTATTGTTCGCCCGCGCACAAGAGTGCTGATTAATATGAGTTCAATGCTCGAGGCAAGAAGTGATGTCCCAACGCTCAGTTCAGTCATCTCAACATTGTTCAACCGGGGTTTGAAGTAGCATCGTTCAATCGTATAATAAATGACCAGGAATGGCGATTAGGCAACGCCAAGCATCTTCGTTTCTTGTAATAGTCACTATCAACGATATGACCCTGGACAGTGCTCTGTGGCTAGTCATCCAAGCGTATAAATTCCATAAATAAATCGTCTGCGGACGTCATATCCGAATCTTCAAAACTATTGGCAAAGTATTTATTGGTGAGAAAATGATCCTTTAAACTCGGGAATGTTTCATCACTCGAGTTCTCGAAAGTAGTTCCTGCGGGCTCTGACTGAAGCTGCCACTTCCTTTTTCGTTTCACACAATTTGATCGGGGCTCTTCTACGGAATGTGCATCAAAAAAGTGCCACTGGAGATGTAAGTTGTCAACATAATTTCTTTCCTCGCCACATGGATGAGGGCAGAAGACTGCGGCAGAAGACTCCGCTGACCCCAAGTGAAGATATAATAGTTTCGTGAAAGAACAAGCAGAGAGGCACTGCGAATGCGGAGATCCAACAAGAGATAAGCGTGTGATTTAGAAGTGTTGATTTTGCCCATTGTTGAAATCTATCGTCTGCGCATGCAGCCAGTTTTACTACCCCCGAGAACTTCTCCGATGAGGCTCCGACACAGGACGTCATGAAAAACACAGCGCACCCACCTACCGTCTATATTGACTAGCCAGCAGGAGAACGACAATTCGTCCTGCCAACTAGTGCTAGGTGAACCCAAAAGGGAGCCCGGAGAGGAATATTCCGGTAATAGGCGTTCAAAGCGCCTGGCGACCAAAGGAAAAAGTTGACTATAAGTTACGAGCATTGTGGCTACGCCAGCTGGGTATATTCGTTCCTGCCCGTTGTATCAAGATGTTTCGGCATTTCTTACTATACCTAGCTCACGTATTCGCAATTCCAGCTTTTTATAGAACTCTAGTGTGACACAAGACTAGCGCTAAACATCAACGCTGCCGTGATATCGGAGATCTGCCTACACGGACTATACCAAGAGTCGCAAGAATCTCCTAGGTTAGACTCGAAACTTGCGGTAGATCACGAGAGATACCATATTGTTTCATACGCCGAGAAATACGTACGTAGAGCGGGTTGTATTCACTTATAACTTCAACTAGACACTTTGATACCCCACTCCGAAACTGACATGCCTTAGTGTAGGCAGATCTCTACTTGACCACGAGCTGTCACACCAAAATAGCGTCTAACCTAGCTCCTTCAGAGCACGAGATTATCCACCACGTGATTCGCATATCGCAGATAGCATAGACAGCTAGTGGTGGTAAGCGTTCTATCCTAAGACTCTTCCGATGTGAGGACGTTTGACAAGCTCAAAACACCACTTAATACATCCGTGAGGCCTTAATCTAGTTGCGTAGAAGCTCTTCCACCTAAAGGCGGCTAGTTAAAAGGTCCATTAGGGCTCAGGCTAGAGATAGTAATCTCGACCTTGGGATAGCACCTTTTTAAGTGCCTTTTTTAATGTGGTCGAGTTAGATGCTCACGCATATAACTAAGATGAGATTATTTCCAAGTCACCCAGCCTCTGGCGCATCTACGTATCCCAAGCTCGAGAGGTAACAGAAAATGTGGTAACTCTAAGATAGACAAATAATTCGGAAAATGGTGTTTCACAGAGTCCTAACCAGCCAACATACTCTCTGTTCCGTATTGCAAAATATTAATACCGCCTTCGTGTGAACATGTGGAGATTGAGCGCTTAAGGATAATCTGATAATACCATACGCCACACCCCCTAGGTTTCACCGACTTACCAACCGTACGCTCTAAACGGATGTGTGTCTAAGAATAGAGGCTACATGTAATATTAGTGTGCTGGGGCATCCCAAGGATTGCGGGTTTAAGGCCTTTCTATCGTTTATTCGGAAATTGGTTGTTTGATTACTCTCTTTGATCATAGGAGCGCACTTCCAAATTGGCAAAGATTGTGTGAGCTTGGCTGTGACGAGAAATTGAAAAATAACAGATGGCAGAAGAATGATGCCTCCGTAAAAAACCGCCTTAACGCTTGGTCTTAGCTATTTTCCGTACCACTGACTATGAGAATCCTGGCAGACCCTTACACCTGACAGTGTTACTTTTGAAATTTTCTTCGAAATAAGATTCCAGAATAGTCGGATGGGGCCAACACAAGATACAATGGTGACGATGTTGTATTCAATACTGTGATGCGATGAGTGATGAACTTCATGCCGGGAGTTTGGGTGGGGCCGCTTACATTGTCAATACGGTGTATGCGGTCAATTGGTCTGGATGAATGAGTATAGGTTGGCTTGGGTGGAATTGAAAATTAAGGGCCTTACTCGTGTAATTGTTCTCAGAAATAGCAGAGAGCTTGGTGCATCTGATGACCGATATAGGAGCACCTCTAACTTCAGTCAGTAACTGCTGATCTTTCATAGAGAACAACACACATGATAGGCAAACTTAACATTAAACAGCAAGTCAAACGTTTTCTCACGCTGAGTTCGAGCTGCCACACGCGATAGACAGGAAATATAGTCAAACATGTATAGAAAATGGCAGCAAATACTGTAAAGTGTTAGCTGATATGTGCCAAATGACCTGTTAGTTTAGACCTCTTACCTCCATCTGCATAGGTCATGTTTATCACGAGAGCCGGACTGTGGCAAAGTATCCCACTCTTCTGGATGTTTTCAAACTTGTTCAACGTGCTTAAAAAAACAATTATCCATGCCAAAGGTACTGCGGATATGAGCACAAGGGGCCAACACAATGCCGGTGAGGATATTGTGGCACTGGGCATTCTAGAGCGCAGTGGAAGCTTGGGCATTGGCATCACTTCGTTGATCATCACCAAGTTTAAACACCTTGATACCATAGTTAAGAGAACGCCAAGTACCACGTCTAGAGCGATCCAAATAGTGACCTTCTCGAGTGCTTCAGAGTCAAAGAGAGCGATGTGCTTGCCATAACCATAATGAACTGCCATCGAGGTAACAAGGCAATATACGGCCCCTGTAAGCTAGTTGTCGTGTTAGGCGATAAGATTTTGCAAAAGAAACAGGGAGAATCTCGGGAAAAAAGATTAGTTTACCATTGTTACTACGGCCAAATAATACGGCTTTGAAGAGTGTACCGCCATGCATATCCTGATGATTGCGAGCAGAATAGCGATAGGAGTCAATATCCATAGCATATTCAGAACGAAAGCGCCATGACTGTCGTTTTGGTCCGGAAGCCCTGCCGACATTGTTGTTATGGTGATCGAAAAAGTCCAAACGAGAACAATATTGAAGGAATAGCAGAGATGGTCGAACAACAGATAGTGCGGGCCGTTTTGAACACATAAATCTCTGCAGGTGAACGCTACAGGCGGCAACTCTTGATTGTAACTCTACTTAATAGTGGCTACAATAGGGTATATCGTCCCCCATCGTCCCCCATCGTCCCCCATCGTCCCCCATCGTCCCCCATCGTCCCCCATCGTCCCCCATCGTCCCCTCGAAGCTTCCGATTGGTTCACTATTGCTCCCATAATCCCCCATCTTCCCCCATCGTCTCATGGGCATACGAGTCTGGAAGAGGAAGCGGGCGGCTTTTGATTACGGGCAACTTAAGGATGAAATAACATTTAAGAAGTGTGTTTGCACCCAAAGGATTAAGATTTGTCCATCCATAGACAAAAGTTTGTGCCACAATCGCAATAGTCATATCGCCCCTTCGTTCGTTTCCTATACATTCTGAAATTCCGTGACTTGCCACTCTTTGAAAATGGGACGAGGTGCGTACGAAACTACGGGCGTAAAGAAGCCTGGGGTTCCTCTACCGCCAAAATGAGGGCTGGAGTGGTGCCCATCTCTCTACGCTTTGAATGAGAGCTGGAATCATTACTCGCACGCTCCTTCCACGTTCAAACTGGACTTTCCTCTGTAAGTCAAATTGAATTGATACAAATAATCATGCAGTGCTTATATTATATACTCTTAAGGATCCAGTATTTTTCCCTCTCGATCCACCTTCAAAAACAACTACCCGAACTTGGGCCAAACGAAGAAAGAAATGCACAAAATGATTGTAAACTCTTTGGTGTTGCAATTGGGTTGCAATTGGAAGACTTGGTGACCGAGTAAACTGCCTTGGCACATCAATGTGAAGGGCAACGTTCAGGAGCGATCGAGACTGTATCTTTAGTATTCATTTGAACCGGTAACTGGCTTTTCAATTCATTATACGCTTGTCTTGATGGTGAATGTGGGTGCAAATTTTGATAGAGAAAATTTCAGCGCTGAAATGTAATACCTAGCAGCCGACCCATGCTTTATCCATATCTAAAGTCTACAAAATAGCTCGCTCCCAGGCCAAGATTATGAAATATGAATAAAGAGGTAAGAGAAGGGATATCTACATCAAACTTTCCTGCAATAAAGTCGTCGAGCCCAATGCGGATAGATTGGTCGTTCATAAAACTGGCTACTCATTTCTAGCTAAGGCTAGTAGTATACTTTAACCTCAGATGTAAACCACTAGGCGACTCTTGTCTGGGTACGTCAAAAGTACCCTTATACTGGATGCTACAAGCATTATCACTTTTCTTCATTCGGTCGGTCGCATTGTGCAATACCAGCAGGCTTAGAGTGTTCAGCAGTAGCCAGCGAACTTCGGCCAAGCACGAGGCGATGGACGCTCCAGCTGCTGCGCAGCGTGTTTGGTGGTGAAACCGGGCGGTAGGCCCTGGGAATTCGAATTTTTTCCCGGGCTCTCGCAGCACCATAGACCTAGCACGTGTCTGCCTTGTTGGTATCTTATGTTGATGAGGTCTTCAACAGAGCGCCACTACTTTCTATATTAGAGCATGAAGACCATCCTCGCTAGTGATATTGTGTCTTCAAAGGGAGTGAAATTTTCCAAAGCTGGTGTGATTGGCCGGTACAGAGTATCGCGTGTCAGGTGGGAACTAACTCGAAAACCCTAAGTTTCTACTCATTGTATATAAATTAAACAGATGAAAACTATAGGTTATAGGTAGCCCTGAGGGCGCGGCTCATTCGCTTATCCGTGTGGGTACTAGAAGATTGGATATATCCACGTGACCAAAATATAAAACCCCACTTGGGCACCAACCCCCACATGCGATGACTGCAGTGGTAGAAAATGTTAAGGCTTGAAAAAAGTTCTCCCATAATTTGTGACTTCATTTCTTCCAGCTAAGTACAACATGTCGGACAATGTTTGCAGTCCATCTTCGACGTTCTTTGTGTAGTACTAAGCATGAAATCCAGATCGCACCTGCCGCCAACACCGAGAAGCTTGCACTTGGCGAACATAAAATCGAAATGTCCGGCACGGTATACATCCGCGAAGGCGATGTGCGGGTTATAAGAGAAGGCGATGAAAAAAATTTCGAGATGTACACAAAAGGCAAGAGCTTTCGTGTTAAGGCTGGAGATCGAGTGGGCGTTTTTCAAGGGATAGTAGAGTTGATGAGCGACGGCCCATTGTCTGCTGGTTGATCAAACAAAGGTAGGATATCCCAAGCTGTTTCTTGACTTATATCCATCGTCAAGGTCAGACGGGCGTTGGATGTCGGATCGAAAGGGAACGCCATTTCGACATTGACATGCGTGTTAATTTTCTCTGATAGGAGATGTTGCATGTACTCTCTCATTCTGGTGCGCGGGCCGCAGCGATGCCGATATTGAAATCCAGTGGCGTGATATCCAAGGGTAGGAACCTGATATTCTTGAGCCATATCCGAAAGAAAATCCGTCTTCAAATTCTTTTTCTTCAAGCATTCAATCAGGTATACCTGATTCGGTTGGCCTAAATTGTATACACCGCTCACGCCGAGCGCTAGCGAACAAAGAAGCATGATGTTTGGGCCAAGTTTCTCGGACGTAATGCAATCGGTCAAGAAGACCTTGTAGGAATCCAATTTCTTTTGCATTCGCGAGGATGGCGCAGATCTCGAGCCGTTCACAAGTTGTATATCAGCCAAAAGTCTTTTCTGGTCCTTTGAGTTGAGTGCGCAGTTTCCCTTCAGTTTCAACAACCATTCTTCAATCTTGGCCATAGCCTTATTTGCCCTGATCTCGGGTATGGACAAATCATTTCTTTGTTGGTTCATTGCAGTAGGTCGAACACTGCGATGATACACGATACACGATGGATGATGATGGATGATGATGGATGATGGGGGATGATGGGGGGTGATGGGGGATGATGGGGGATGATGGGGGACGATGGGGGACGATGGGGGACGATGGGGGACGATGGGGGACGATGGGGGACGATGGGGGACGACGATGGGGCATGATGGGAGTAATAATGGACCAATCGGAAGCTCCGCGGGGATGATGGCGGATGATGGGAAAAAGAATAATTGCTAATTGCAGGCCTACAGTGACGTTGCAGAGGTTTGAACACCCTTATCCCGTCAGTGAGGCCTCACTAAACTAAGTCTGCCACTTCGGGACAGCCGTAGCAGAAGTGGTGTCCGCTTTTGCGTATCCCTGTATATGGAGACATATGGGTAGCTGTTTCTTGTATGCCGCACTCGCAATGTTCGTCGTCGAGGAAGCGATGGGCCTTGGCGTACGTGGATAATCAGTGTCATGTGGGTAGCTGAGTTAACAGATACGCACGATTCCTAGGCAGACTGCCGTACAATCTTCCGGTGTAGATGGCCGGAAATGCCTTCAGATCACTTCGTATGCTCTTGATGCCTCAGGAAGGGGAGTATAGCGCTATATTCACAAATCGAACAAGGAATCAAAGCCCGCAGAATAATACATGAAGACCTCAGGCGAGGCAATTTCCTTTGGAGTGAAGCGCTTGGGCGTGCTTTGATCATTGACTTTTCGTCGCTCTACATTGAAATGTTGACTGACTCTGCAACGACTATGTTAAGCTGAGACAGGAGACGCAAACAGTCGTCACGTTACGCTATCTCGATTAGGAAACCGTCACGCTCTTGGCGCGAGACTAGAAATCATCAATTTTCGACGACGAGCTGCGACAGCGAAATGCATCCAGAAACCACGAGGCGTATCGTTCGGTGCTGCTGATTTACAAGCTATTTAGCTGGAATCACCTTGGCTCGTCCAGATTATGTTTCTGCTCTTAAAGTTAGGTACCGATTGGCACATGGAGAGTTACACTAGTTATTTCGAAAGCGGGAATTAGTATTTCCGGAGAATGTCGGTCACGTGTCGTGGTTCAATCTTGCGTCTCAGCCTTCCCCGTTCCCTTCGCGCTTTCTCGCCATCACCCTCCATCACCCTCGAAAGTCGTCCTGTAAAGACGGTGTCCGCTCTTTGTCCTCGCCGCCAGTCTTGCCATTACGGTCTAAATTCAACGATTTTACTCGTCGACTTAGGATCGGGCTTGTGCTCGTGACCAGGCAGCAAGAGCTTTCACCCCTTTACTCATCTGATATTTCCCGTCGGTCGAGGGCTTTCCAACGATGTTCCGAAGTTCAGGCAAGAGGGTTTCTCGATTCAACAACGGGATTACTACCAACGACAATGACTACCACATCACCAAACAAGCCCAGGCGCTTCAACAAAAAAGCTCTCGTTCATGCACCTGACTTGAGAGTTTTTTGTATTGCACTTCTTCGCGTTTTCCATCATGAAACCGAGCAAGAAGGATCCATTTCTCTTTTAATTGAAGCAGATCTTATTAACCAGAGCAACAAATCACAGGTGATATTGAACTTCCCCCTGAATTCGATCGAAACATGTATGCTATTTCCACAAAGCAACGATAGCCTGATCCCGTTCGATTTAATCAAGGAGCACCCTGCATATATTCCCTCCTGGGATGCTTCGAACATCACAACGATGAGCCTGAAACTCGGCAGCACTGGAGACATTCTACGTCCAGCCGGGATAGACTTTTCATGCCTTGCCAATCCACAAGACTCGGACCTCCACGCATTTGCGGGTATCTGTGAAGCCAAACACCTGCATCTACATATTGCCAAACGGCAATTCCAGGGTGAAGAGCTTAATGACCTGAAAAGCCTTTGCAGTCTTCTCCCAAAACTTGGTCAAAAAGATTTCAAGAGCCATCATATGGTAAAGGAAGGCTTAGGGGTGTTTCGGAAATTGTGCAACTTTCCCAAATTTCGACCCCCGGATTATGCGGGGTCCATGCCCACGCAGACTGAGCAGCTGGATCTGCCCCCATA